TCTCTGATGGAGAAGACTAAAAATTCCAGAATTCCATCACATGGAGCCATGGCAGTATCGAACTGCATTAATTCTGCACTGCAGATACAGCCACTCTTATTAGTCCAACACTCAAAGCACTACACCACTCTGTCTCTTTCATATATAGAAGAGGTTAAGACGGTATATCTTTCCTTTTAGCCTAACTAGTTCTTGTTGTTGTTGTTGTGTGCCTTCATTTCTGACGTGACCCATAAATCATGGTGTTCTCTTGGCAAGTTTCTTCAGAGGTTTGCCATTGCCATCCTTTGAGGCTGAGAGAGTGTGACTTGCCCAAGATCACCCAGGGGGTTTCCATGGCTGAGCAGGGATTTGAACCCTGGTCTCCAGAGTCAGTCCAACACTCTAACCATTATATATATATATATATATATATATATATATATTTAAAAACCAAGCGATCAGTTTTAATAATGTAATAGTTTTATTACAGTGTTACAGTAATACAATATTAATATTGTATTATGTTAATTATATTGTTTTATAATACAATATTAATATTGCGTTATATTAATATTGTAGTTTAATTCTATTTTAATGGTCACTTTTTTTAATTGTACTGTGCTTTAAAATTGTAAACTGACGCTTTGGGTCCCAAACAGTAATTATGTATATATGTGTGTGTGTGTATATATATAATAATAATATATATATAAAAAAATATAAAAATTAACGTTTCCTGTGGTGAAGCCACACTCTTCACCTCAGCCCCTCCCATTAGGAACAGAGAAAGCGTTACCCAGCTATAAATTATTTTTGGGCTCGCTGAGCCGCCGTATCATTTTCTGGTAAAGCTCCCTTGCCAGCAGTTGGCTTGTGAACGATTGGCTGAGTGGGACGCCCTTTTTGTCCTCTTCCAATGAATCGAAAGAAGAGGAGGAAAGGAATACGCCCCCATAGCGGACAGTGATTAACAGGGAAACAAACAGCGCATGCGCACTTGTGTAAAATGAAGGCAGCGGTGTGGCTGAATCATGAGGGGAAAGTTACCATAGAGGTTTCCGCTGTAGGATTTCCGTTTCCGGCCAGCTGGCCTTTCTACTTCCGGGCTTGGGCGCGATGGAGTCGGTGTTAAGCGAAGTTGTGGCGTTGGAAGATCTCCAGGTGAGTGAAGGGGCTTTGAGCTTCTTTCCTCACAGCCGATGTAGAGCCTCCTGCTTCAGAAGCAGTGTGCCTTGGATTTCCAGTCGCTACTGAGGAGAAACAAAGTAGTTAGGGCCAGAATCACTAGCTGTCCTTCTTTTCCAGGACATGCCCTACATTTCCAGCCTTCTGTCCGGGGAGAATTTCAAAATGTTCTCCATTTTGAGCATGACCAAGGGCCTTTGCAGACTGCTAGAAATAGTGCAAACTGAATCTACTTTAAGGGTTAGGGTTAGGGAATCATGGGAAGTGTAGTTTATTGTGGCACCAGAGCTCTCTGACAGAGAAGGCTCAATGTCTCAGAAAAAAAACACTAATTCCCATGATTCCCTAGCACTAACCCTAACACCACGTTTTCTGTTCCCCTTCAAGAAATGTGTCTACTTGGCAGCTTGTCCTCACTGAAAATAAGGGAACAATTCCACTCCTTGGGGTTAAAAGACTGAGTTTGGTGGGATTTCCTCTCTTTCATGCTCCAGGACAGCTTTCCTTCCTTGTGTCTCTGGGTGCATCTAGACTGTAGATAATAATACAGTTTGATATCACTTTAAGTGCTGTAGCTCCTTCCTATGGAACTCTGGGATTTGTAGTTTTACAAGGTTCTCTGCCAAAGAGGGCTGGTGCCTCATCAAACTGTAAATCCCAGGATTCTGTAGTATGGAGCTGTGGCAGTTAAAGTGGTGTCAAAGTGCGTTATCGCTAAAGTGTAGGTAGTGGTTTGAGCGTTGGACTAGGGTTCTATAGAGGCCACGGTTTGAATCCATGGAAACTCACTGGGTGCTCTGGGCAAGTCATACTCTCTCAGCCTCGCAGGTTGGCAATGTAAATGGCAAACCCTCTCAGAAGGAACTTGCCAAGAAAACCCAGTAATGGTGTCGCCATAAGTTGGAAATAACTTGAAAGTACACAACAACAACAAGGTGCACCCGTGGTTCTTAACACAAAATGAGTTTATTTTGAGGGTGTTGGGGAAATAAAGTACCTTGGAGTTTGATTTTGTTGCTGCTTTTTTTTTTTATCAGCAGTGCTCTCCTTACCCAATTTGTACCAACATTTATTAAAATATCTAGCCAACTACAGTATGTGTATCCTGTCATGGGATTCTGGGAATTATAGTTTTACAAAGCCTTTAGCTTTTTCTGCCAAAGAGGGCTGGTGTCTCACCAAACTACAAATCCCAGGATTCTGTAGGATGGAGCCGTTGGCAGTTAAAATGTGTCATCTTTAAGTAGATCTTCCAATTTCCAGTAAAACTCTTTTTTCTTATCTTGCAGTGTTAATGAAATTGGATTGTGGTCAGAAGTTGTTTTTTGGGAGAATGTTCACACCTTTAATTTGAGGTGACAGTGTCTTTGAAACCGTAAATATGTCAATCCTTGATTTGGTTTTATAAAATTCTGAATGAAAAGTATATCCCCCTGTGTTGCCATGTTTATGACTCCAAACATCAACAAGCATTATTTCTACAGTGTAGATGCACCCTTGGTTCTTAACATGAGGTGACTTTATTTTGGGGTTGGGGTGGAGAAATGAAGTAAATGGAAATTTGATTTTGCTGCTGCTGTTATTTGCAATGCTCTCTTTACCCAATTTGTACCAAAATTTATTAAAATCTCTAGCCAACTACAATAAGTGTATCCTGGGATTTTGGGATTTGTAATTTTACAAGGCCTTTAGCCTTTTATGCCAAAGAGGTCTGGTGTCTTACAAAACTTCAAATCCCAGGTTTCTGTAAGGTGAAGCCATGGCATTTAAAGGTGTGTCGAACTGCATTATTTCTGCAGTCAGAAAACATATTTTATTTGTTCATTTGTTTATTAATTCATTTGTATGCCACCTTTCTCTCAAGGGACCCAAGGCGGCTCACATGAAAAATATCTGGGGTAGATTTTGGATGTTATTTTATTGTATTTCTACAGTCCTTTTTCTATGGTATTATTGTATTTCTACAGTGTAGATCAGGGGTAGGCAACCCAAGGCCCGGGGGCCGGATGCGGCCCCCCGAGGCCTTTGGACCGGCCCCAGGCTAGTCTTGCCGCCCCGTCCTCCGCCGCCTGCCATGATGATATTGATTATTGTTGTTATTACTTGTTCTTGGGGTTTTCTTGGCAAAATCTCCACAGGGGTCTTGCCATGGCTTTTCTGGGGCTGAGAGAGTGTGCATGCATATTTTTTTTTTAAAAAATGTATTTATTTATTTATTTATTTATTTATTGTGCTTTGGCGCCCCCCCCCCAATTGTCTGAGGGACAGCAACCTGGCCCACGGCTCAAAAAGGTTGCCTACCCCTGGTGTAGATGCACCTACGGTAAACAGTGGACTGTGTTGCCTCAACCAGGGGCTGGCTAGACATGGTTCCTCAGATTCTTTTGGGGAATGGATTCAGGGTGACATGAGGTATGAAGATATGGAATGACATGGAATAAATTTGTCTCATTGTTTCCTCTGGTTGCTTCATCCCTCTTACCAAACAAGCTTGTTTGAACTACCTTTCTGAAACTTTAATTAAGACTGTTGGGCTAATAATTGCTTGATCTGAAGATGAGAATCTGATGACTCTAAAGGAAGTATAGAATGGCAGCAACTAGGAGATGTAAAAGAAGCCAGATCATGGAGGTAAATAGTGGACATGATGGAATCCATTCCACTGAAAGATAGCAGAGAAGAGGAACATGGGATGATGTGGAATCTTTTGACTCTAAAGGAAATATAGTTTGACAGTAACTAAGGGAAGTGATGAAAAAACAGATGGTGGGGGGGGTAGTGAATGTGATGGAATCCATTCCACTGGAAGATGGTAGAAAAGAACAGGAGATATTTGTTGGTCTTCTGAAAATGAATTAGAATTGGAGAACCTGTGGCCCACTAGATGTTGGATTCTAGTTCCAATGAACCCTTGCCAGCCTGGTTAATAGTGAAGGATGATGGGAGTTATCATTTATCAGCACTGTGAGGCAAGGTGTTTTCCATATTTATAACATGTTATAAATATGAAGATGCTGTTAGACTCCACCTCTCAGCAGCTTTAGCCAGCATAGTCATTGGTGTGAGGAATACTGGAGAGGCAGTCCAACAACTTGTGGACAGCTGTATAATTACTACCTTTGTTATAAATGTTATTTAGGTAGCTTAGTATAATAATAATAATAATAATTTTATTTATATTTCCCGCCTCTCCCTATGGATCGAGGCGGGATTACACAATTAAATGAATACAATATGCAAAATACAAACAATAAAATAGTGAAATCAAACAACAGTAATAAATTATAAGAGCATATAATATAATATAATATAATAAATAAAAATAAAATAAAATACGGTAGCCAATCATCGTCAGAATCTAGAAGTCTAGAAGATCAGATGGATAGGCCCGCCGGAAGAGCTCCGTCTTAAGTGCCTTCTTAAAGGCATCTAGCGTAGTAATAAGACTAATCTCTTCCAGTAGGCCATTCCATAACATGGGAGCTGCGGCTGTGTACGATCTTTGGGAAGTCATGTTGAGTTTGGTTCTATGATGTTCTAATAAGTTCTTCCCAGATATTCTGAGAGTGCGGGGCAGAGGGGAGAGGCGTTCCTTCAAGTAACTCGGGCCCAAGTCATGTAGGGCT